TTAATGAAGTCAAATTGATCAAACTTTAAATTTATGGTTTGTGTTTTTTGTGTCTTATTTAAGAAATATTTTTCCTCCTGGGAGCCCTGGGTGGCTCAGTCGGTTAAGTGTCTGCCTCCGGCTCAGGTCATGATCCCAGGATCCTGGGATCCAGTCCTGTACTGGTCTCCTTGCTCAACAGGGACACTGCTGCTCCCCCTGCTTGTGCTCTCTCTCTCTGGTAAATAAATAAATAAATAAATAAATCTAAAAAAACCCCCCACTTATTAAAAAAAAGAAATTTTTTCCTACTTTGAGCTCATAAAAATATTCTGTATTTTCTTCTCATAATTTTATAATTTTGTTTTTTACATTTAAGTCTTTCATCCAGGTGGGATTGTTTTGTGCACGGCATGAGTTGTGGAGAGAATTTCTTTTTTTTTCCCCCCTATATGTGTTTATCAATTGCCCATATTTCATCTATTGAGCAGTATATCCCTTCCCCAATCATTTGCAATGCCTGCTGTGTCATAAATCAAGTTTCTATATATTTGGCCCTTTATTGATCCATTGGTTGTTTGTCTGTTCCTGTGCTAATACCACATTGTTTTAGTTACTCCGGCTATGTAATAAGTCTTCATATCTGGTAAGTTTTCCTAACTTTTTCTTTTATAGCAGAACAGAGTTTTTTTGTTTGTTTGTTTTGTTTTTGCTATTCCATATACATTTTAGAAACAGTTCATCAAGTTTTATGACAAACTCTGTTGGGAATTTGATTAAAGTTGCATGGGATTGGGATGCAATCAGTTTGAGGTGCCATTACAACTTGAATCAACTGGAAAGAGACTTCTGCAAAAAACTGGACTCCATGGGGATCTTAAAAAACAAGTGCCAGGAATAGTCCCACATATCTTGGAGAGCTTTTGATCATTTCTTCTAACTGTACCTACCTTGCTCCCCACCATCTTTGACAGAGAGAAAGAGAGAAACAGGGGGAGGAAATCAAAGTTGAAACTAAAGGTGATAAAGGGTGGGTATCCAGTGGTTTTATCAGTCACCATTTTCTCTGTTGTAGTTTCTAGGGACATACTATTTGAAGAAGTGGAATTGAAAGTAGGGGTTGGGAAGAAAGGGTGAGGAGGTACATGAAGGGAGGATATGCCGCTGGAAGAGAGGAGTTTGACTCTGCTGGTGGCTGAAACTGCTGTTTCTTATGCCTCTTATGCCTATTGTTTAGGGGGAAGAATCCTCATCGGGGGCTGAGAAACACTTCAGAGGGAAGGTGGCATCTGAGGTGGGCGCAAGAGGGTGGAAAAGAGTTCCTCGGTGAGTGCGTAGATGGGAGATGGGGTGAAGCTGTGGCAGGTGGGATTGAAAAGAAAAACGGTTATGGGCATACCAGGCAGACGGAACAGCATAGGCAGGAAAAAGAGAAAATGATGCGTTAACGGGAGGCAACAGTAGTTCGCTTTAAGTGAGATAGAACTGGAAAGGTAAGTAGTAGCCTGATTGTGCAAGGTCATGGATACCGAGCTAAGGACTTTGGACTTCATCCTGGGATGGCAGCGAAGGCTCTTGAACAGGGAGTAACTAGACCTAAAGTTTGCTTCGGTAAGATAATTGTAGCCACAGACACGCAGGGAACCCTGTATCTGCGTCCGGAGGCGACGCAGGGAAAAGAGCACTGCCGCCTGCAGGAGGCGCGCCGCTGGACCAAACGCCCTCCCCGCCCCCTTCCCCGCTGCCCGGGTTCCGTCGCTGTACTCTCGGAACTCGGCTAGCCCTCCTGGACGCGTCCTACTCGGGCCTCGGCTAGTTGGTCTGGACGCGCCCCCGTGCGTCACGTCCGCTCTGGCTCAAGGCTCATTAGGGCTGAGGAGGGGCGCGAAGAGACCCTCTGCGCCTGCGCTGCCGCGGGCAACTGTCCACCGTTTAGGCTGAGGGCGCCGGGGAGTTTTACAAGCCTCCACTAACGCGTTTCTGAGTCCGCCACAGTTGTCTTACACCGCTGCACGCCCATAAGGTGTTTTGATTTGTGCCAAGAGATGCAAGCAAACGGTGCTGAGGGGCTCGATTGCTCCCTGACCTTAGCGACGCCGAGCCCAGAACCACGCCCCTTAGGTCTCTCAGCTGAGAGGCGTCGAGCCTCTTGACTGCAATTTTCCTCCAGCTGCTTGCTCTCAGTCTGCGGCCAAAACGTCAAAACTAGTGAAAACCTGCCCTGGCCGCTAAGCATGCCCATGCCAGGCTGTAATCCATGTTTCCAGGGCTTGCTTACCTCTGCAGTCAGACTGCCAAGTTGTAGGGGACCTCGGAGGTCATCAAATCCAACCTATTAACCCCGATGTCCCAAGTGAACGGATGTACGGTTTTTATTTGCACACCCCTGAAGATCGTCCGTTTCCTGGGACACCCGTGATTAGATAGCCTTCCTTGAAGTTTCCTCCAACTTTAATTCCTTCAAAAATATTTATTGAGCACCTGTGTACCAAATACTGTAGGTCCTGGGGATTCAATGACGAAGTAGAGAGATTGATCTCTTGGAATACATTCTAGTGGCCTTGATGCTAGCAAGGAAATAAGCAAGGTTTATGGTAGGAACATATAGGTGGGAAAAACTTAGGGTGATCAGAGGTCCCTTGGAGGTGATGACGTTTCTAACCAGCCAAGTGAATAGTTGGGAGCAGAGTGAGTTATAGCAGGCTGGGGGAATACCAAAGCTCCCGAGGCAGGAAAGGATGGCGTTTCCTAGAAACAGACAGAAGGCCAGCGTGACTGGAGTGTGGTGAGCCAAGGTTGAGAATGGAAAGAAAAGGTTGAGAATGTAAACAGGAGCCAGATACAGACTTTGTGGGTCTTGGTAAGAGGTTTTTGAAAAGTATTCTAAGAGGGGGCGCCTGGGTGGGTCATCGGTTAAGCAGCCAGCAGGCGACTCTTGGCTGAGGTCCTGATGTGTGGAGCCCCACTGGGGCTCTGTGCTTAGCAGGGAGTCTGCTTAAGATTCTCACTGCCTCTCCCTCTGCCCCTCCTCCACGTGTGTTCTCTCTCTATCTCTAATAAATAAATGAATCTTTAAAAAAAAATGTATTCTAAGAGCAATGGGAAGCCAAGGAATAATTTGGGCCAGAGGCTTGATCTTAGTTCAATCCTTTAGAATCACACAAACCATATTACATATATGATTTTTCCATATCAGTCCTTTGATATCAGATATTTGAAGATGGCTGACTTAGACTCTCCCCTTTCCTCTGAGACCCCTTCTCCTGCCCCCAACTCCTCTCAAAGCTATGGTTCCTCTATAGCATCTTACTCAGAGGATGTATGGATGATTTTCAAAATGTCAAATCATGTGTGTACATTTTAAAAGGGAAGGACCTAAGACTTTTATAAGAGATTTGCAAAGAGGAGTTGTAGAGATTGCGAACTACTGCTTAAACATTTTCATCTATGTGATCCTGGTTATTGTTCTCTGGAATAGCAGGGTACAATATCAACTTCAACCAAGGCTAGTTCTCTAAACTGTCTCATCTGTGAAATGAAAACAATAGGATTGCTATGAGGATTAAATGAAATTATGCTCAAAAAGTGCTTGATGGTAAACAATGAAGGCCAGCCACACAGTGCCACTGTTACAATAAACGCCTGCATCCCTGAGATGAACAGTTTGTAGATAATGCTCCTGTAGCACTCTACAAACATCACTAAGTGCCTATTCTGCGTAGAGCCCTTAGTGAAAAAGATCTGCCTTCCAGGAGTTTGCTATCTAGTTCAAAGAGCCAGGAGAGATTACAAAACAGATAAACTAAATGCCCTGAGAGGGGCGTGAGTAAGATATTCTGGGACCCGGGAGCTGCGGAAGAGGTTTCAGTTTCCACTGAGGTAAGTGATTATTGAAGTTCAAATTTAAGTGGGTTCGAAAGATGAACATATTGAACTTAAAACGCACACACAAAATCTATACTGCAGGTATGCATTTTATTCTTGGTGATAATTCTTGGTGGAAAGACCGATCGGAAATACTGTAATCACTTTTATTATCCGACAAATATTGAGCAGTAGGTTTCCTGAGAAAGGCACCTATCTTTTGTCCAGTCTGTTTACTACACATTGCATGCTCTGGGCAGTTCTTATCTCCATGTTCAGGAACAAAGTACACACACACACACACAACGGCCCTTTCCGAAACTAAAGGTCCAGGGACTCCGAGAGAGGTGGGATCCCTCGCGGCCCAACCACACAATGGGGGCCACTTCGCGGTAGCTCGCACCCCACCCCGCAGGCCAGGGTTCGACTTCTTGGGGCCGCTTCGCTCCTCCCCTGCAGTCCTCGGGGGCGCCCTCCCTCACTGGCGCTTTCCTCCTCCTTCGCCGGGGAGCCGGAAAACCCGGAGCGAACCGGCCCTGCTCGGCGGCGCATGCTCAGTAGCGAGCAGGTTCAGTTCGCTAGTAGGAAGCTCCAGCGCTACACCGGAGTCGTCGGCGGCGGCCGCGGCGGCACCTCTGGGCAGCCAGATCCTCCAACGACGACCTCGGGCCTTTCCCCTCCCCCGCTACACCCCGGCTCAGCTCCGCCCCGGGCCGCTCGCGTTTCGGGGTCCCCGCTGTGCGGAGCGGGCGCCGCGGCCGGAGCGTCCCTCCACACGCCCTCCCCCCGCA